CTAGGTTTTCATTCATTAAAGGACAGAATTCAGATTTTATAACATATTCGTGAGTTTATTCACTCTCTCTTGCTTCAAGAGAATTTCCTTTGAATACTTGAGAATCAATCTCAAGTTGTTCAACGAACTTATCAATCAAGTAGTCTCCTTGATTGTGGCGTTCTTCTATCTATACTTTTGGTTCACTAAAGTGGCTAGTCGTGGGTTAAGGAATCTCCTTAGTTCGTGGCTCGTGATTCTAGAAGGGTCAAAGTTCCGCAAATCATCCCAACTTGGTGTTCGTCTAGATCCGTCTCACATCAGTTGGTAATCAGAGCTAGTCGACAACCACCAGGTTATATCCTTCTTTTCTTTTGTGTTTCGAGTCACATACTCTTGTTCCAAATCAGTTTGTGTGTCAATTCAAAAAAAAAAAAAAAAGGTACTGTAGCATCGTACTGTTCATCGCTACTGTAGCGATACTGTTCACCGCGCCCCGCACTCTAGCGATACTGTTCATCGCTACTGTAGCGACACTGTTCATCGCGCCCGCACTGTAGCGATACTGTTCACGCTACTGTAGCGACACTGTTCATCCCGAAAAAAAAAACTTTTGTTCATAACTTGTGTTTCTTTCTTATTTTGGTGTCTTGTTATATTGTTCTTGAAGTTTTGTGTTGGTTTAGAGTAAAAAAAAAAAAAAAAAAATCCAGCCGCTAGGGTTTCCTTGGGCGCAAGTTTCTTGCCAAATCTGTCCAAACTTTAGTTTATTCCACCAAGTTGTTTTAATTAATTTCCTAAACTGATTTTGTGGTTGAACTTGTTTGGGGTTGGAATCTTGGAGAGGGACTACCATAATCTAGGGTTTCTTGAGTTTCTTGAAACTAATCTTGAAGTCTTGAAACTTTGATACATGTCTTGATAGTTGTTGGAGGATTGAAGGAGAACATTGGTTTGACATTAACATTCTGGAATTTTACCCAAAAACAGCCGAGTAATTGTGTGTTTTAGAGTCAAAAAAAAAAGAAGGAAGAAAAGAGAAAAGGCATTCGGGTAGCAAGCAACAAAGAAAGAAGCCGAAATTTTATTGACCAAGCTGTCTTGTTACTCCTTGTTCCAAACCAAACTAGAAACTACACCAGAAAAAAAAAAGAAAAAAAAAAGAAAAGAAACTCAAAAATTCTGTCCAACCTCTTCTTGAAAGTCTCGAACACCTTGCGTCTTGATCACTTGAACAACCCTTGCTTGAGGTTTTTGATTATCTTGGGCCTTAAAAACTTGCACTTGCCTTCGTATAAAAAGTTTCTTGTACGTTCTTGCATCCATACGGGGCTTCCTTGGTTTAGGAGTAAATCTCTTGGGAATTTCTTGAGCAAGCCGCTTGGGGGACTCTTGAGTGACAATACTCTCGTTGTCTTGACAAGCCATTTCCTTGAAACAAGAAACAAAACTGCCGTGGCCTTGTCTAAGGAAGAGAGAACAGAATTGTGCGTTGCGTCTTGAAGGAGAAAGGCCGAATTGTTGGCAAGCTAAGGGCGGCTGGAGAGAGGAAATTTTAGTGAGGGCTAGTCGACTTTTTGAAGGCTTCAAGAAGACAAGAAATCTGGAATATTTTCGTGGAAGCAATTCTGATTTGATAAGGTAACAAATCTGGAAATTCATCAGCGGTTAGGAAGCTACCAAATTCTGTTTTGCAGCCGACTTTGGAAGGTTTAAAAGGAGCAGAAATCTGGAAATTTTTAAGCTACCAAATTCTGTTTTGCAGCCGACTTTGGAAGGTTTAAATGGAGCAGAAATCTGGAAATCTTTTTTAGCTACCAAATTCTGTTTTGCAGCCGACTTTGGAAGGTTTCAAAAGAGAAGGAAATCTGGAATTTTTTGGGAACAATTCTGATTTGTTATAGCCGACTTTAGGAAGGTTTTTGGAGAGGGAATCTGGAAAATTTTTGGAAGGTTTTTGGAGAGGGAATCTGGAAAAAATTTTGGTAATAATTCTGTTTGGTTAGCCGACTTTAAGGAAATTTCCAAATAAGTCCAACACCTAACTTGTTTCCAAAAATCAATTGGGCAATTAAGTAAAGCACTTGGGAACTCCATCATCGTACTTGGACTTTCTTTTTCTTTGTACATCAATTTTTTCCTCTTCCATTCCTTATTCATTACTTGAGCTTTCCATTTCTACTTTTTGTTTCCTTGTTCCTTTGATACAATTGGGAGCTATATTGATTAAAGTTTGATTGAACTTCCTTGAGAAAATTTCTGATTTCTTCAAAGGAAACAAACAAGTGGTTTGAGAAGTGAATTGGTGAGAGCATTAGAGTGCCATACACACTTGAGTGAAAACACGAGAGGAGTGAAACACGTAAGGGAGCGAGTGAGGACTGTTCTACTAATTTTTGTTGAGTTTTGCAGGTAATAAAAGTATGAGACAAACGACTGCTCAACTGGAGCTTCACCATCTTGTGCCTAAAGGAGTAAATACTGTGGCATTGCGTGAGATAACTGAGCAATTGGAAATCATCAAAGCTCAAAAAAATGATTGGTTTTATACACGTTGCCATATCAAGGATAAAGTTTGCAGCTTAGCCATTGATAAGGGTTGTGAAGTTAATCTCGCAAGTACTGTCTTGGTTGAGAAATTGAATCTTCCAACCATTGATCATCTTCGACCTTACAAGTTGCAAAGTGATAGTGGTGATATTTGGATTACTAAGCACACACTTGTTCCTTTTCGTATTGGTCAATACGTGGATGAGGTGTTGTGTGATGTGGTTCCCATTCAAGTGACGCATGTACTGTTGGGACAATGGTGGATGTTTAATCGAGAAGTCAAATATGATGGATATACTAATAAGTATTCCTTCATATTTAATGGCCGTCGTACCAGGCTTGTGTCGCTTAACTCTAAACAACTTTGTATTGATCTAGCATACATGAAGAGTGAGCATGAGCGTTATAGTATGAAGAAAGAGCTGGAGGAGAGAATTGTGACTGAAGAGGTAAAATTCGAGGGAGTTGAAATGGAGAAAGAGGTTGAGAATAATGAGGTGAAAAAGTCAGCTACTGAGCATGAAAAAGAGATTAAAAATTCTAAGAGTAAGCTGATTGTGAGAAAGGATGTGAGCTCATATGTTTTTTCTAACGATCCTGACTCTACTTTGTTTAGTGTTTCTACTTTTATGCAGGTTAAGCAAGGAAAAATTGAGTTGATCTTGGCATGCTCTATGCCTAAATCCATTGGTGAATATCAAACTTTTCATGGATTTTGCATCTTAGGTGTTGTATCCCTTTGTCATCCATTGATGTTCAACTTCAACCATGAGCCTGAATTGCTTGTTGGGAGGAATAATGAAATTTCAAAGGGAGTTTCTACACTTGAAACTTGTTATAAACTTCCTTTTTATTTCGTTAGTGATAATTCTTTCCTCATTGGTCCAAATTCTGATTCCTTACAAGCTGATTTTATTCTTCAATTTGAAGGTTCAGAAGCTGCCTATCTCGATCTTACTCCATTTGTGCAAGATAGGCCATACCAACAACAACTTGCAATGAATTTTGTAACTTTGCAAAATCATGTCCGGGACTTTTCTAACCTGATTGAGCACCACTATGAAGATCCTTATCTTGTGAATGTGAATGGTAAGCTGTCAAGTGATTTTATACCTACAAATCCTAATCGTGTGATTTATTGTGTAGGTCCAAATTCGACCATTCATGACACAATGCTGATTAGAGAGCTTTGGAGTGGTTGGAGTAAAGCCTTGAGTTGCCCATGGCGGATTGTGAGCATTTTCAAGCTAACCAAGAGACATGTGCAGCGAATTATAATAATCACGACGTATGCAAGTATCATCCATTCTAAGAGAGCCAATATGTGGAGATTTGAAGTTTCATACTGCCAACTCTTATAGTACCATTCATTTCCAAACACGATTTGAGGACAAATCTTTTTTTAAGAGGAGGGGAATGATACGAAATATGGGCCGCTTATGGGCCATGTTTTGGGCTGCAAGAGATTGAATCTTTTAGTAATAGTTAGTAGTTTATTTTCTAGATTTCTATTTTATTTGCTAGGAATAAATTCGGTCCAAGACCTCATGTTGAGTTGGATCCGATTTATAGAGTCTAGGCTCACTATAACTTAAGTTGGTTAATTAGCTTTTATTGGGTTATGTTGGGCCAGTTTAAAGCCTTCATTGGATCAATTATAAGCTGACCATTAGATAGTGGATTTGAGTAGTGGAATCGAACCAAAGGCCTAGCCTAGCCGAGTTAGGGTTTTGTCTTGTAAGGCTATATATAGCCTAGGTTTTCATTCATTAAAGGACAGAATTCAGATTTTATAACATATTCGTGAGTTTATTCACTCTCTCTTGTTTCAAGAGAATTTCCTTTGAATACTTGAGAATCAATCTCAAGTTGTTCAACGAACTTATCAATCAAGTAGTCTCCTTGATTGTGGCGTTCTTCTATCTATACTTTTGGTTCACTAAAGTGGCTAGTCGTGGGTTAAGGAATCTCCTTAGTTCGTGGCTCGTGATTCTAGAAGGGTCAAAGTTCCGCAAATCATCCCAACTTGGTGTTCGTCTAGATCCGTCTCACATCACCGACCTTCACTGTGTGCTCAGGTCGGTCGGACTGGACGGGCAGCTCGACTAACCCCTCGTCTGTCTCCAATCTTTCCCCTTTCTCCATTAACTCCCAGGGCTCCAAACAAACTGTCTGAGCTACCAATTTCTCTTTGCCCTTGAGGGTGGCAATATAACAAGCCCTCGCCACCTCCGGATCTCCCAGCACCTCAGCCACCCCAGCAGGAGTAGGGAACTTCATACTGAGGTGCAAGGTGGAGCAAATAGCTCGGAGGGCATTCAATGTAGGCCGTCCCAGAATCATATTGTACGACGACGGCTCCTTAACCACCGCGAAGTTTACCGGGACCGTTCGGCACTTCGGGGACACCCCCACCGTAACCATGAGAGTGATCATTCCTTCCGCCCTCACGGGAGGACCTGCAAAACCGATCAACGGAGTTCGAACCGGTACGAGCTGTCTATCCTCCAGCTGTAGCTCCTTAAAGGTCTTGCGTCTATGGCACTTCCGTTGTCTATGTATACCTTTTTCACCTTGTAATTACAGGTGATGACTTCTATCACAATGGCTTCATGGTTATTAGAGGCCAGAGGGACTGCGTCTTCAGATCCATAGATAATTTCCTCATACATCTTCAATCGCTTGGCCGAGCTCTCCCCCGTGAGAAGGGGGCGATTATGCCGCCGAGCTGTATGACTATCCCCGCCAGCAGGTCCTCCGGCAATAGTGTTAATCACTCCCGCCAGATTCTGTGTTTCCTGCTCGGGAGTTCGGCCACGAGGCCCCTGAGGTCGGTCCCGGGGGTAGCTCGGACGTTCCGACCTGGGCCTTTCTCGTTGTTGGTCAGCTCGTTCATCTCGTATGAACTGCCCAAGGTGGCCTCGTTTGATCAGTTTTTCAATGTCTCTCTTGAGGTGACGGCAGTCCTCAGTATCGTGCCCCACATCTCGATGATAAGCGCAATACAGAACTTGGTCCCGTCTGCTTATGTCCCCGGCCAAAAGTCGAGGAGGTCGAGAGAGCCCCTCCTGTTCCATCACTGCGAGCACCCGAGCTCGAGGTGCCGTGAGGCTAGTCCAAGACTTGTCTCCTCCCATTGGGCGGCTCCTAAGGAGGCGGTCATAAGCGTTCTTCCTTCCCTGGCCAGGCCGTGCATCCACCTGGTCAGCGCCCCTCCTGCGCTGGTCATCCCTCAATCTTTCTTGTGCACTCTCAAGGCGATTGGCTTCCTCTGCGTTGGCCTTCTCATGAGCTCGGTCTAGCATTTCCCGAACTGACTTGGGAGGTCTCTCCACAAGCTCGGTGTAGAGCTTCTGTTTTCGCAACCCGTTAATGAAGGCAGCCATGACCACCTTGTCATCGCGATCTCGAACCTGAAGGGACTCGTTATTGAAACGCACCATGTATTCGCGCAAAGACTCCTCAGGCCTTTGCTGGATAGTCATCAGATGCGCCGTGCTCTTGGAGAAGGCTCGTGACGAAATGAACTGGGCCGCGAACAGTCGTGCGAGCTGGGCAAAGGACCGGATGGACCTGGGAGGAAGTCCCTGGAACCACTGACCGTATCCTTTCCAGGGACCTTTAGCAACTAATCTGGCTTTATTTCTTACAACTACACCTTTATCATCCAACTTATTTCTACATATCCACTTCGTGCCAATGATAGGTTGATTTTGAGGTCTATCAACAAGTGTCCAAACCTTATTTCTCTCAAATTGATTGAGTTCCTCTTGCATTGCCAAAATCCAGTTTTCATCCTTTAAAGCATCATTGATATTTTTGGGTTCAAAAAGAGAGACTAGAGCAAAATTATCTATCAATTTCTTAGATGAGGAACGAGTCTTTACCTTCTCGGATGGATCACCAATTATAAGCTCTCTTGGATGATTTTGGCTAAATTTCCAAGCATTGGGAAGGTCTTTGAATGAATCATCATTCTTGTCTTCATTTTCCTTTTCTTGATCATCATGAGCTCCATCCTCCATTTCCTTTGCTGCTGGTTTAGAGTTTCCTTCATCTCCAATTGTTAGCTTTTCCATTCCTTCACGAACACCTTTATCATCATCCTCACCCGAACTTTTGGAATTATCATCTTTAGTTTCATCAAATGTTATGTGAATAGCTTCTTCTATCACAAGAGTTCTTCTATTAAAGGCTCTATATCCTCTTTTGTTCTCACAATACCCCAAAAATATTCCTTCATCAGATTTTTTATCAAACTTACCAAGATGTTCCTTTAAATTCAAAATAAAACATTTACAACCAAAAACTTTGAAATATCCAACCGTAGGTTTCTTATCAAAAATCAGTTCATAAGATGTTTTATTCAAAATAAGTCTCAAGAGGATTCTATTCATCACATAACATGCGGTGTTTACCGCTTCAGCCCAAAGATATTTTGGCAAACTACATTCATTCAACATAGTTCTAGCAGCCTCTTGGAGTGTCCTGTTTTTCCTTTCTACAACACCATTTTGCTGTGGAGTCCTTGCAATAGAAAACTCATGTGTTATGCCATTATGATCACAAAATTCTGGAAAACCACAAAACTTGAATTCCGTCCCATTACCACTGTGTGCATCATTCACATCCCACATCTCACACATTTAAGACAATGGTGAATCTAAGAGGAGGAAAAGTCCCTGCCGGACACAAGCACACACTCAGGGATGAAGATGTGGATTCTCCTAGGGTCATAAGATCATCCAAACGCTTCAAAAGGGGAGCAGTAAAGATTCAAACTTCCCGGCCTTTCGCTCAACCTGAATCCGGACAAGGAACTCCATCTCAACAGCCTTCCCAATCAACCCCCGTCTCTCCATTCTTTGATGCTGCTGCCAAAGAAAAACATTCCTTGATAACCCAGAAAGGATTCATTCCTCAACGAACCATCAATCTTTCTGAATTCCGCAAGATTGGTTTAGAGTCAATTCTTAATCTCTTTGAATTCCAGAAATGGTCACATATCATTTCCATGCCTAATGTTTATTACCCTGAAATACTGTATCAATTTTTTGCCAATCTTAGGAAAGGCACTGATCACACTGAAATTATGTCTAGGGTAAATGGGGTAGACTTAGTATTTGATCCTGAAACTGTGAATGTCATCTTAAATACTACTATTGAACGTGGATGCAAAAGTAAAATTGCCAATTTCTTCTCTTATGAAGAGCATCCTATTGTTGATAATCACTTTGATAATGCTAAAATGCTAACCTATTTTCGAAACAAATTTTCTGCCCCTGCTGATGCGAAATTAAATGACCTTGCTCCTGTGAATCTTATTGCTTTCTTAATCATTTCAAATCTGCTTGTGCCTACTGACGGTCATAGAATAGATGCAAATAAAATGGAACTTATCTGTTTTATTGTTTTCGAGAAAAAATTCGCATTGACTTTGGCTTTGTCATGTGCAAGTTTTTACTTCGCTATACCACTGATTCTCATAGAAAACTGTCCTATGGAAAATTCCTTCAAAAGGTTTTTGAATTTTACAAAGTACCTATCCTTGGTGTTTGTCCCAAAGATACATTTTCCTCTGCCTTCACTAAGACTTATTTTGAGCGCAAAAATCTTGTCTTTAGGGATAATTTGTGGGCGTATAAGGGGGCCACTTCTAATGAACCTAGATCTAAGGTTGCACATGATCCACTTCACACTCCATCCTCTGTTGCACCAACCTCTATTCATCCTAGGAAGACTGCCACTAAGGCATCCTCTTCTTCAAATTCTGAGGTGGTTGAGCTCCTTCGAAACCTTAAGCAACATGTTCTGCTTCTTGAACATGGTCTCATGGTCTCATGCTCACCATGTCATCCCAGCAGCAGGCTGACTTCCTAGATAAAAAGAGTCTTCTTTTTCCCCCACCTGTGGTTGAGGAAGTCCCTCCTGGCAAGGAGCCACGCTCCAATGATCCAAGTTCATCAGCCCCTGTTCGCTCAATGAGTCCTGCTCCTATCGACCTCACCTCTACTCCAGTGGCACCACATGATCCTTCCACATCTGATAAAGGCAAGAAACCAGTTGATGAAGTTGCTGAAGATGATGAAGACACTGAGGAGGAGGATCTCTCTCAGTATTAGCTTACTCGAAGGACGCCTGGATCCTCTTAGCTTATCATCTAGGATCACTAGTCCTATTAGGATCATTTGCATTCTGTTTGACTGTTTTTATTTGCTGAATGTTAGATAGTTACCTCGAACTCTTTTGAATTCTGGTGCTTGGTCTCATTTGGTGTTTTGTAATGTCCAAAACTGGACATATGTTTGTAATGTTTGTGAATGGTTGAATCTTTACATTTTGTTTGTGAATGGCTGTGAATAACTGAATGGTTGGATATATTACATTTTGAATTTTGTGATGACAAAAAGGGGGAGAGATGGTGTAGATATGAATACGGATAATATGGATAATAAGTAGCCAAGTGAGGGGGAGTTCTACGATTGAGGGGGAGCAATTTTGTTGTTGTTGTTGTTGTTGTTCTTCAATTGAGTGAGAAAGGGGGAGCCTATTTGAAGTCATCAAATTTCATTTCAAACTTTTGTTTTATCATCATCAAAAAGGGGGAGAATGTTATTCTTGATTTTGATGATCACAAAAGTACTTTGAAATGTTTATCTAATTCTCTCCAAACATAAAAGTTTTGCTTTTTAAAGAATCAGGTATAAAGGAATCAAGGATAGAAAATCAACCAAAAGAAGAAGCAAAAACAGGGTACTCATACCGGACGTCCAAAAGGAATCTGTCGGACGTCCGAAAGGATGAAGAATATCAAGAAGGAAACTCTGTCGGACGCTTGTAAGGAAGCATCGGATGTCCAAAAGGATCGGACGCATGCTTCGGACGCACATCGATCTCATCGGATGTCCTAAAAATTTCACAAAGTGTTGATGACTCTCTGTCGACGATCGGACGCTGATGCTGTCGGACGATAATATCCCATAGGACGTCCGAACGACAACTTAGCTGATTTTCGGACGATAGGATCGGACGATGATTAATCTGTCGGACGTCCGACGGGCCCAACGGCTAGCTGACTTTTCATCTGCCTACCATCCGTTGGAAGCATTATTGAAGCCAATTTTTGGTCTCCTTTAAATACAAACGTTTCTGAACCAGTGAGGGACTTTTGTACACTTTGTTTACAAGATCTCAAGAGATATTTTAGTTAGAAAATAGTCTCCCAAGATAGATTTGTTCTTCAAGTGGTGTGAATTTCTTGTAAGCACTTCTCTTGTGCTTGAAATTTTCAATAGTGTAGCTTTGTTGAGGATTATTTGAGTGATAGTAAAACTTTCTAGCTTGACTAAGTGAGGCTTGGGGCAAGGAGGAAGTGATCCCTCCAGTGTACATTGAGTTGATTTTGTTCTTCAAAGAGAAAGTGCTCATCATTGTGATTGGTCTTCAAGTTTGAGGAAAGGTTGGTAGACAATCAGTTTGATACTCTATCTTATTTTTTTTTTTAATAAAATTTTCATTGCTTATATACTCTCTTATTTCTGATCAACATTGTTCTCTTCTTTAAATTTACTTGGTTGATTATTACTAGAAAAGAAGGTAAATTTTTATTAAAGAAAAAAGTGCATAAACTCAATTAAGATTTTTTAATCAACCTAATTCACCCACCTCTTAGGTTGTCTTTGGGCCTTACAATTTTATAACCCTTTTGAGTTGGGTTTTACATTTCGACTATGAAACCCTAGTTATTTTTGTCCACGGGTCCAAATGTCCTCGTTTCACTTTAAAGTCTTTTATACGTTCTACTCATCAATTGTCGAGTTCTTTGATTTCACCTAATTGTTTGTGTTAGATGAGCTGTAATATTCTTTCTTGTTTGATCTTAGGTTTTCTTGGTGACTAAAGGTAATATCCGGAAGGATATTTTGCACGTTATTTTATGTATATAGGTGTGTGTTCCTTGTTTGTTATATTTCCTTGACTTATTGGTTGTTATTATTGATTGATAATGTGTTAAGTGCTTTCAATGATTGTTAAAACGAGTTTTCTAGACGAGTGTGTACTTTATCGCACTGGACCTAAATAAATGTGAAATTTTCAATGATTAAATGATTAAATGCTAGTTACGCATGAATGTAAGCTGTTTGGCTGAACTGGGCCCTGCCCTTCGTTACCGATCAACTCGAGCCAGAAGCGGATTCGGTCGGGCGATATGGTGACCCTGGGTGTGAACGTTGGTATACTCGAGTATTACCTTGTAGGTTGGTGGAGTCTGGCCAACGTCCAGGAGGGGGTGAATGAAATGAAACGAATGAACGAATGAGGGTTTTACTTACAAAAATGCATTTTCAAACAATTGGAAGAATAAGGGAAAATGTCAGGAGAAAGAATGATCGAACGAAAGCATGGCTCCCTGTGAGCCAGTATCCTTTTAATGAATGTGTTATTATCGCTTTCCATTATAAATGTTTCTTGAATTATTGATACT